CTTATGCCACTGAGCTATATCCCCAGCCCAGGCTCCACTTCTTAAAGGTGGAGAAAAGTTAGATGAGAACAGTGAAGTTTAGAGGGCACCACCCTCATACCCAGGGAGTGTTTCTCCAGTTCTCCTCCATGAGCAAGCGTGGTTTTCTTCAATATAATATGTGTTTTTTGAGACAGGGTCTCCCTATGTAGTTTGGGCTGGCCTTGAATTCACAATATACCTCAAGCTGGCCTCGAACTTGTGGTAATCCTCCTGCCTCAGCCTCCTGCATGCTGGGACAGCAGTATGCCATGGTGCAGAAGTTTTCCTGTGTATTAAAGGCTTATGCACAGATATGCATTTCTTGCAGTCCTAAAGGCTGGGTCCACGGCAGCATAGCCAGGCTCCGAAGAAGCCTCACCCTTGGCTTACAGTTGTCTGCCCTCTTGCTGCAAGCTTGGGTTGGGGGGTCTTTCCTAGGTACGTGCCGTGCCTGGAGAGCTCCGGTAGCTCTTTCCCTCCTCGTGCCAGCCCTAGTCTGATTAGATTAAGGCTCCTCCCTTGTGTTCCCATTTAATTTTAATCCCCCTTAAAGTCTCGTCTCCTGCACAGTCACCCGGGACCCTGGGGCTTCAACACATGAATTGAGGGTGGGGGTGGGGGACGCACAGGTCAGTCCTTAGCATCCTGGGGTCCAGAGCCTGGAGGATACCGTCTGCCTGTGTTTGACAAAACTCCCAGCTTTCTAGAAAACCTTCATGCCTGAAAGTGATTGCCAGCTTTGTATGAAATTCTGGGTAAGTCGATTCCAAAGTTAAGGGTTTGCCTCCCTCTGGGCTCAGGCAGGGACTGGGTGTGTGTTTCTGGCCGGAGCACAGCCCAGGGCAAGGCTGTGACCCCCACGGACCTTGGGGAGGCCTCCTGCCCGCAGACAGCAGCACCAGCAGCTGGCTGCAGCTCTCTCACCTCTTCAGCCTCTGCTGGGCGCTCGAGGGAGGGAGAAGGGTCCCAGGCCAGGAGGCTGCGCTCCTGGAGTCTGTAAGGGTGGTCAGTTTCCTACAGCCTTTTCCCTTTCGGGCTCTGCATGTCAGGTCACCGCTGCGGCAGATCGGCTCTGGTGCCTGGGTGAACCGTCCTCAGAAATGAGGTTGTCTACTCAGGATCGAGTGCTTTGAAAACCTTTTGAGCAGCTGTATATGGGGGCACAGGACAAACAGCCCTGAGGGCAAACAGCAGCCTGGGGAAATTCATTCTCTGCAGACCCCCTCCCCCACTCTGCCACTGAGGGTGGGGGTGGGGATTGAACTCAGCGCCTTCACACTGAACTCCATCCCCAACCCGTTTTCGCATTTTTTATTTTGAGACAGCGTCTTGCTAAGTTGCCTTGATCCTTACTCTGACTCTTGCTAATTTGCCCTGGTGGAGCCTGAACTTGTGATCCCCCTGCCTCAGTCTCCCAGGGGGATGGGATGAGAAGCCTATGCCACCACACCCAGCCCATTCTCAGGTTCTTTAGGATTTCCTTTCTCTAGCCCTGTTGTTTACAGTTCTGTTCTGGGGCTTGCCTATTTAGCATCTTTTCTGGGTTTTATATTTCAGATCCAGTAGTGGTTTGCCGCTGAGCTCAAGCCTCTGTAATTGTTTCCTTGACATTTTAAGAAGAGGATCAGATGTGACGGCTTCACA